CGCTCAGTGGGACCTGTCGGGTTGCTTACGGTCGATCGTGATATTTTCGGGATAAAAATCGAAATCTTTTTGATGGGCGACCGTTTTCTGAGATTTTAAAATCATAGAAATAGCTACGAAATGGCCAAAGGGGGCTTGCCTCATTTGAATTTGTAAACTACCCCCCCCCCCCCCCCCGCAAAAAATTGTAAGTATAATTTACTTGCTAAGCAACGCAAAATGAGACAAGGAAGAGAGTGCAATTTGATAAAATTACAAAATCCACGACATTTTTAAAGAAAATTTGCGTCGGGGTTATCCTAAAATGCACCCAATTTTTAAATATATTTCGGAGACGGATTCTCGCAGCCTCTTTTGTATAGAGTTATATTCTTCATAAAGTTACTCAAAAACAACTCAAGGTAACCATAAATACTGGAATGCTTACCTATGCTTGAATGGGCGTGAACAAAAAAAAAATGTGTCCTACTTTTCTACCCGCGCGTGAAAGTCTCCAGAGAATTTCGTCTTATCATGTCTGTATATTGCTGTATTAAGCGCGCGTTGTTTCATGTCCTTCGGCTGGAGGATTCATGATTCGGACTCGTATTTCTAGGAGAGTCAGCTTCTTCTCCCCCGCCCCAGAAAATGCGAATGAAACGACAAAGTTTGAAATCATTCGTATAGGTTAAACTTTTATTACTTTAGCTTCTGAAAATTCGGGGTGAGGGCAAAGCTATTGAGATAAAGAAAAGTTTCTGTGCGGGGTAGAAAATTTAAGAAATCTCGAGAAACATTCTTAAACCGGCCTACAAGTGCACTTTATTTTGGACGTAGGTATATGTTTGGGTAAAGATGATAAAATCCTGATAGCTTTCATGCAGAGTGTGCTAAACGCTATCAGGAGTTCAGGACTTCGATTATCTTCACCCAAAAGCTCTTCCGGACCCGTTCTCCGTGTGCCGTAACCGTGATACCTCGATCCAGGCTACGAAAAAACTCAAAACCTGAGCGATGGGCCCGTTGAAGCGACGATGCACCGCGGCGCAGCGCGCCGCGATGGCATCTCTTTCGAGAAGTCACTCTTCAAGTCCTCGAGCTCCCTTATCGGGGCACCGGTCAGCGAGTCCGTGAGTCTCGTGCTTTGGTGACAAAAAAGCCGCCCTAACCCCGTTTTCAGGTGTAAAAAACGGCAGATTTATAGACCCGGCACCTTGTCGCCAGTCATCATCGCACCCCAAAAAACCACCTATCGTACACGAGGTTTCCACCAGAGTAACGCGGTTCTTGTTTGACGTCACAACGCACCATAAAATGTCACCATCACACCAGCAAAACCACCTACGTACCCGAGGTTACTATTTGACGTTATGTCGTTCTTGCTCAGCAGAGCAGCGCACCGCAAAGTGTTATCCATCGTCACCATCGGATCATCAAAAATCGCTTATCTACACACGGTTTCCATCAGCGTTAGGTGATTTCTCCTCGATGTGACAGCGCGCAGCAAAATGTTGCTCATCACCGACAAAAACCACTTATCTACATTCAGTTTCTGCTGCAGTTACGTTGTTCTTGCTAAACAAGGTAAGAACGTCGTGGCACCTTGTCGCTTGTCACCATCGCACTGACAAGAACCACCTATCTACATGAGATTTTCATGAGATTAACGCGGTTTCTGACCGGCGGAATGGAGCTCCACGGATGCAGTTGTAACTTTTACGGTCCTTCCTGATGGCCTTCTCCCGGCTCCTTATCACCGCGAACGATGCTGCAGAACTGAATTCGAGATTGCCGAGATGTACTGTCGCGGGTTTTTATGACTCTTTTTTATCCCCTTCCCTTTGATGCGAGCATCAAGTTACGCACATTCTGGCGTGCATACTAATTGTGCGAAATATGCGAAGCCGATAAAAACCTCAGCGCACCTGGCATACTGCCGTGCTAAACAAAAACGCCGTATGTGCCTTCAGACTTTGCCAAATTTCCTCTGGCAATTCACTGAAAAATTGTTGAATATATTTCTCCCGATTTCTTGGATAATGGAGATGTTGCATGTGTGAGGAATTTGCGATTTGACTGTTGATTTCTTTATAAAAGTTCTCGAGAAACACGATGGTGCCACTGGTTTTCTCTGAGATCATCTCCCAAGCTCAAAAAAAGCTCTCAAGTTATGGCCAAAATGGAGGGGATATCCCACCCTACCCTATGAGAGTCTACCTCTACATCAAATTAAACTCTCCATGCAAAGATAGGGAGCAAATACATTAGCACACTGAAAAAAAGTAGTTAGCGTTGAGAACTAATTTGGTTGGTTCTCGCCAAGTAGAATCAAAATTAGGCTTCAGAACTAATTTATTGTACTGAAGCACCAATCAATTCGCTTCATACGCTGACTTGACTTTACTAGAGCGCGAACCAGAATTGGAAAACAGCACTAGCTGTAAAATTAGCGCTGTGGTAAGACAAATTCATCTTCGGGTCAAACTAATTCGCCCTCAACACTAACTGCCACATTGTCCGTTACATTTATTTAGTTTCGAAAAAGTGGCGTCGGTACAACAGCCTCAATCGCGTCAGCTCGTGAAAATAAATTAAAATGTGAAATTTCGGGCTCGTTTGACAATGTAAATACTCCCGGTATGATTTATAGTGTCCTCTCTTTCTTGAAAACGTTCGAAAGCAACATAAATAAACCTGTTAAGGTTAGAAATCGTCTGTTCAATTCAAAACGTAAACAAGCATGATATTCGTTGGAGTCGTCAATCTTCTATATTAAATTGCGATTAAAGCGTTCTGCGTTCAGTTTATATTTTTACGAAAATCTGTGAACTTACTGCTTACTTCTATAGTTCGTGTTCTCCCGTAATTTCAAAAGAATATCTCAAGTGTTCGGACGCCGACANTGGTTAGTGTACAGAAACCAAAAATCATGTGTGTCCAAATCACACAATTTGAGTTAGTGTATAGAAACCATTTTTAGTCATCTGACGCTAACTCATTTTTTTCAGTGCAGTGATGCCGTATTTTCAGTTTTGGAGTCCCCAAATAAAGTGGCAACCCTGCTAATGTATTTGCTCCCTATCTTTGCATGGAGAGTTTATTTTGATGTAGAGGTGGACTCTCAGGATAGCGTGGGATATCCCCTCCATTTTGGCCTCAAGTTGAGAGCTTTTTTTGAGCTAGGGAGTTGATTTCAGAGGAAACCAGTGGCACCATCGTGTTTCTCGCGAACTTTTACCCAAGAATCAACAGTCAAATCGCAAATTCCTCACACATGCAACATCTCCATTTTGTCTGTTATATGATCTTACGTGTCCGAAAATTTCAAGGAAATATATTTATCATTTTCCTCAAAAATGAGCATTTTATCGAAGGAAATTTGGCAACTCTCGAATGTTCATACGGCATTCTTCCTTTGCACGGCAACATACTGGTGCGAAAAGTTATTATTCATCTTTGCGACGTGGTCGAGGAAAAGGAGACGTTAGGTGAACGGGTCATTTTCAAGAGATCCATCTTCCGTTATGCTTTTGGTGTTTAAATTCAGTTATATACTTCATTGTAGAAAATTCCGCGAAAAACGAATAAAAAATGTAAAAAAAACCACTATCTATGGCGATTATTTAGTGCCATACACAGTCGCATGACGTTGCACTCATAAAACTCAGCATGCACTCCGGTGAAATTGACCGACATTGGAACATATCAAGGTGAAACATTGAAACATAACAACCAGGTGAGGGCTAATGAGTATTTTCTAAAATAAAAATGGAGGTAAAAACAAGATAAGATACAAGGTAAGATAGTCTCAGGGTACCCTTCATGAAAAAAGTATATACCTACCGGATGTCACTTTTTCAACAGTTTTCTTATACTTTTTCAACCTCAAAGTGTTTCTCCCGAAATTACACTAATAGTTCTTAATCCGCATTGCAACGGTGCTCACATACCAGTGCCCACAGCCAATATTCATAGTCAATTGGACTGCATGCTACAAAAAGGAACTGGCAAAAATGGCAATTCTTGGTTGCGGTGTCCAAGAAGCTCCACTAAAGTTTCATACGTTAAGATGAAAGCAAATGACAATGTGTGGAGTTCATTGAAACTTTTACTGAATTTTATTTATGACTTTACAATGGTAAAAATGAAAAATTCCACCCGATAATTTTCTCTCAAGAATATAAAGTATCAGTCGAGATTCTTTCACACCGCAACCAAGATATGCCATTTCTGCACCCAATGTCTCAATTGAGGAGCTTGGGGGACAAGGCGCATAAGTGCAGTTTTTTCTGTGTCGAGAAATACGTGTTCGAAGTTTTGAAATGACATGGATTCTTATGGCGGAAGGATACTTATAACTGACTTGATGATTGAAAAATTGGAATTTGGTAGCGAATTTTTCACAGAATATGCATCAACCATCTATTGTATGAATTGACTTTCGACCCCAGATTCTAGGGCGCACTAATCGATTCTGTATCAAAATTTAAAATTTTTGGAATAATATTTTTGAATTAATATTCAAAAAGAGGGAAAACTAATGAATATTTGCAAAATCAAGCCACATAGAATAGATTCACTTTTTAGAAAAGTTAAAATTACGTTTTTACACATTCGTAATGCTATGCCGCATACTGCCGTGCTACGGAAGAACGCCGTATGAACATTCGAGAGTTGCCAAATTTCCCTTGATAAACATGTATTTTTGACGAAATTTAAGTATATTTTCCCTCGAAATTTTCAGATATTTTAGATCAAATTGCGTGCATAATTGTCTGAAAATTTTGGAAAATAATATTCAGAATTTCCCCAGTAAATTCGGTTTTTATCGTAGGACATTTGGCAAAGTCTGAAGGCTCATACGGCGTTTTCCCTTCGCACTGCAGCGTAGAGGGTTAAGATTAGCTTTACTTAAAATCATTGATATCTCTATTTTTTCAAAAACTGCACTTATGCGCGCAGTCTTTCAAGCCCCTTAGTTGCTATGTCTCTGGTAGTGCTGTATGTTGGGCGAGTCTTACCTGTTCATGTTTCTTGAGGTAGCTGAGCCTGGGGAAGGCCTTCTCGCAGAACTGGCAGGCGTAGGGGGTGGCGTCGGTGACTCCGACCGTGAACGTCACATCCGACTCCGCCGCGGAGTTGGGAGTGGCGCACGAACTCCCGGGGGAGGTCTCAGACCCCCATGATGACCCCGGTTCCGTCCCCAGGGCGTCTGAAACCCAACAGAAAACAAACGAATTAGACACAAAATTAAATAGAATGACAAAGTAAATTGTTGTTGCTGAAAGATGATGGGAATAGTCGTGTCGCCAGTTCAGTTCAAAAAATTAAAACACATTAATTAAAAAAGAATTCAAGTATATATTTCGTTAAATTAAGTATTTATTCCGTTAATTTTTTCCGTGTATTTTATTTCGTATTAAATAGTTTCCGCCTGTGTGGGAAGAGTAAGGACTTGTCAGCACCTTTGGACGTTAGGTCATGAAACTTTTAGAACTCAAAGAGCAGCCAACCTGGGAACTCAAATTATCCAGAGTGATTTATTATCACAATTGTTACAACTTTTCGCTTGTAAAGCATGTAGTTGACTGGGCTTTTGTAAAAAACTTGGCGTCAAAACTCTCCCCATTTAGGCGCTCTAAATAAAAGTATCTTCAAGGAATTTTTTGATCTTTTAAAATTTGTATGAATAATCATAATAATAAAAAATTGTGAAATCAATTTCAGCAATTGCCATTAACGAGACTTTGTGAACACAAAATGACCCGATCTACGTAACCGATGAGACACTTTTTATGACGGTTAAACGTAAGCAGAATGACATTTAGCGAATGACAATATATATTAGTTTCTTATATTTTTTACAGAGATCTGTAAGGGGTTACGAATTAGAACAATCTCCATCTATAATTGCGTTTATTTTTCTATCAGTCTGTCATTCAATAACTTCAACAGCGAAAATAATGACACTACTATTCCTCCTATAGCAGAATCACCCACAAAAAGAAAAATGCACCAGACTTTGTACGGGAAAAAAGTTCCAGATCGAAAATCCATCTTGAGCTGTCATACCGTTTGTCCCTGGTTCAAAGTCCGTCCCCTTCGGATTTAAGATAGGTCCCTTCGTCTGTTTCGGGTTTAATTACTAAAAGAACGACGCCTAAATTCGGAGCTATTGATTTCTGACCCCACAGACTATCATATCCGATCAATTGAGGCAAGCTCATTTTTCCCAAGCCGATGTTTTATAATAGGTTTATATGGCAGAGAGACATAGGTGCCAAATTAAAAAATTCACCGCCGGTCTCAACTCAAAATCGCCACAGGACTCAAGAACAAACAGTCGCACGGTAGACCGAGTCAATAGGAGAGGTCGGAAAAAATCTGGAAACTTTGAACGCTTATAACTCCGTTTATACAAAACTTTGAGGTTCTGAAAGTGATTTTATTGGTTTTCTCGTACAATTTTCTTCTGAGGGTACCCCTTGAGCTTTAAAACGTGCGACGAAATAAACATAAAAATTTGCAGTTTTAGTCATACATTTCATGTCCGACCTCTCTGATTGACTCGATCCACTGTGCGTCGGTGGCGCCTTCCATGTGCACTTCATTTCCCCCGCGGAAAAACACTAAAGGCTTGCGTTACGAGGATGCACGATGCAATTTCGCGGTCGTGGAAAAACCGGGGCTCACTCGTCNGGGGGGGGGGGGGGGGGGGTTTAGTGGTGGCGCCCGCGGGGAATTCCCCCGCGCCGCGAGCAGAAACCGCGTATCTCCCCTGTTAAACCCTTGGGAGTTGGGTGGTTTTGGCCGAGGGCGGCGGCGTTCTCACCTCTAGCGGGGCCGCAGCGGACATTTACTACTGTGCATCTAATGAGCTTGTTAGAGCTCCCAATGACACGGATCAAATTGAGACGGATCGGATCTTTTCCATACTATTTCCTTCCTCCTCGCGAGCCGTTTTCTTTATCCGCTTCCTTTTCGCTTCTTTCTCCGCGGCTTCCGATTTCGAGGCGGCTTTCGCCCGCGGCCTACGCTGCCGCGAGCCGCCGTAAATCGCGGAATTTCGGGAGGATTAAGGCGTGGGATACTGAGAAATTAAGTTGAGATTTATTACCAACACTGGAAAAAAAAACATATTGGATCTAAAGTCCAGACTCTTAAAAACATCAGCAAGAAAAAGTACTCTTGATTCAATCAGAATCTAGCGTAAATCAAGAACCAAGCCTCTTAATGTAGGCGGATTTCGTTTTGATTCAAGCAAAAATCCATTGAATCAAGAGTATTTTTTCTTGTCAATGTTTTCAAGAGTCTGGACTTTAGATACAATGTGTTTTTTTCCAGTGTAGCCACATGCGGAAGAAAATAGAATTGCTGATTTAACAATTTGTAGGTGAAAAAATTCTCAGACATGTTTCAATGTAGATTTTACAATATAAAAATGTCAATTTAACCACCCCCGTGGTTAAATTAGCTTTCCATTATTGTAAGATGTACTCATTTGAAACATCTCGGACATATTTTTTAACAATTTAATTGTTCAGTCATCAATCCATTTCTTCTGTGTATATATATAAGGCGTAGGAAACTAGGATAGCACGTTGAAATTTATAATCTAGAGTTCGTGACACTTAATATTTAGTTGTGGTAACATCGCATAGAAGAGTGTTTTGAAGAAAAATGTAAGTGCGTTAAATGTTTATAAATGCCGTCGAGTGAACCTAGAGCTAGAGCAGTTTGCACATTGCTGTTTAAAAAATAAGTTTTAATAGTGAAACAATATTATAATTCGTCTACGAAAAAATTGTTCTACGTCTAAAAGAGCCGTAACCATGATGTAAGAATTTACTAAATTTTGACCAATCTACTTTAACATTTTTCAGCCATGACTACATTTTTTGTTTGATAAAGTTAAACATCTTGATACCTGATCGGCCTAGAAAAATTTGAAATCGGAGTTTTCTAACTTTCCCAGATTTTCCTCATACCAATTTTGAGACTCTGACTTTTGAGATCATACTGAGCAGGAAAACATGATCTTCCGATATTTTTATTCGGCCAAGAGACTAGCTAAAACTATGCGGCACGACTCAAAAAAATTAACCATCGCCGTAAAGACTATTTTCCCCCTATTTTTCGATTACTTTGCTCTTTCCTCTGACTTTTGCGGATATCCCTACCTTCAACCATTCTATTTTACACGTAAACCAGACAAAATTACGACCGTCGGGATAGGAGGAGAAAAGAAAACAAAGTAACCCGGCGGGATCGGGGGAAAAAGTTAGGGATAAAGCTCGGATAAGCAAAGTTTAAATTTCTTAGCCGGGCTCCCTTCCTTATCTGGGGCACGGAGGGAAATCTAGAGTGTGGAGCAAATTAACAACCGAAGACAGCGGCGNGGGGGGGGGGGGGGGGGGGGGGGGGGGCAACCCGGTCTTGTGAGAATAAAGCGCATGGATGTGCGCCTAAATTGAACCGCGCCGGCAGTGGACTCTCCCAGGATTCCTAAACTATGAAAATTACAAAAACTTGAATCAACAGACAACACGCGGAATTCGCAGGGGACCCGCGGCTCCTCTCCTATTATGCACCTCATTCCCTTTTTTTCAACCCCCTCCGCCCCCACCGCGGCTCCCCCGTTCGGGATCGGGGTCCGGTGGGAGAAGGGGTGGTCTTGGGGGGGGGGGCGGTGGGGGTGGACTGGTGGGGCTCCGCTCCCTTAAAATCATCATTCGCCACTCTCTTCATTTCCTCCTTCCTCCCGCAGTGCCGATTCGAACCTTGTTTCAGACTTCACCTTCTGCAAAAATGATGATTGCTTCTGCCGCCTCTATAAATCCTGTGGAGTGTATTTCTATTACATAAGGGGCCGTTCATTGAGGTGATTCATCAAGTTTTCTGACGTGGTCGAAGTGGCATGATGTATATCGTATCGATTTGGTCGAAAATCTCGGCAGATTTTGAATTTTTAGCCAAATTAAGGACGATCGCCCCTGCGCATGGGCCTAAAGAATCTTACTAAATACAAAATTTGGCAAAATGTTCGAAAATGGAAGCAGAATTCTATTTGGAAAAAAACATCGCATTCGATACAAAAATCGATAGCTATGCGAGGTTTTTTCCCCAACAATATTCTAGTTTAATTTCTCTGAATTTTTCCAATTTGGAAACAATGATTTTTGAAATGCAAACTTGAAACCGCAAAAACTCAGGTTTTATTTCATACAATATTTGTCTTAGCGTTTCTAGCCAAATATTTCGGGAAAGACAGTTCTCTATGATCTGGTATCAATAACTCAATTTTGGGTTTTTGATGACAAAATATCTTTTCCCGCGGATCACAATTTCATGTTCTGCAAACTTTTACCTGAATTAATATTTTAAATGTTCCAAGACGCTTGCAGAGATTGCCTTACAGACGATTCAAAGATTTCTGCGAAAAAAAAAATAATACAAGAAAGGACAAATCACGATGTTACGTCCTCAGCATTGACAAGTAAGAAGATGACGCTGGCCGGTCTATTTGATGTAGGAGGTAATGGGCGCAAAGGTGACCTCTGTTGCCATGTGTAACGAAAAAGTTCCGTTTTAAATGAAGTTTCATTGTCAGTTGGGAGGGTTCTCGCTCTCAACTTCCACGGACGCACCCCTTCGTAATACGCGGAAACAACTAAACTTGCTCAAGTGTTGCCTGTTTCCATATGCGAGAAATTGAAGGCGTTTCAGCGTTGTTACACTCTTTTGATAGCTACTTATGAGATACCCCGAAATTAAGTGTACACATTCTGATAAAGTAGTAAATGAGTTATGTTTTAAATTAGGCGGTTTGAAGATTTTATGGGAAAAAATCAGAGATAAAAAACTTGTAGCAATGTTCTGCCGTTGTACGATCTTAGAATTCATTTTCAGGACAAAATTCAACTTTACACCCTTCTTATGCACATTAGGGTGGCCCAATTATACACAGTAAAATTTATTTTGCGAAGTTTTTTGGTCTTACCCCCTAGAACTGTTCCATTTGATCAAAAAACACTCTCTGCCAAGTTTCAGCCAAATCGGATAATATTAACCCGTGCCGACAGAGCCATCTTTTTTATATGGGATTTTACATTGAAAAACACATTTTTCCAGAAAAATCCATTTTTCGAAAAATGTGTAATTTCTAGAAAAAATCTGAGGTCATATTCGGCTTCAGCAGGAAAAATTAAGTGG